TTCTGAAACTACAGCTGCTCCCTCCTAGATTCTCCATTGGATTTCACTGGGCAGAAGTTTTCACGGAAGCCTGATCTTCCTGAGGGGTCCACAGGCTCATGGCATCAGCAGAGCAATGTATAGGCAGGATGTATGTGTAGGGCCTTGGGACTACACCCAGCCTCTGTGGTTGGGCTGAAAGCCTCTGCAGGTGTGTAGACATCCAGACACATGGTGAGCTCTGGGTGTGATCTCACCAGTGGAGCTCTGATAAACATTGTCGAACCAAATGAAATCTATTCCTTTGTTCTTCCTTATTCAAACCCCCTGGCCCCCAAAATTCACTGAAACATTTAAATTGTTTCCTTAATCAGGTCACATATTTCAAAGGGTTGGAGAAGTTACAAAAAACATCTCATTAATTTTCATTCTGATGCTTTAATTGAGGTTTGTATATGGTTAAAACAAGTTAGCAGACAAATAAAAAAAAAAAAGAAGAAATCTAAAAAAAGGCATCTCCAAAATCTCTGCACATTCTTTCTGAAGAATTTGGAATATGCTTTTTTAGTGGCCCAACAAAATGTCTTTTTACATTTGAGTTTGAGTTTTTTTGGTTAATCTTTTTTTTTTTAACAAACATCCTTTTTCTAAAATAATATAAGACTATATTATTTCTCTCTTATAAGCAGTGTACTTTAAAATAATATTTTGTGTTAGACTTTGCTTCAGTTACATATAAATTGGGAGAGTTAAATCTACTTCATGCTCTTGACGATATATGTGTGGGTAGCTCTTACTGTGTTTTCATTCATTCAAACTGCCATCAGTCAACTTTCACAGAGTGTTCACCACCAGTGACTGAGCATGTAATACGCAGACCTTGCTATTTGTTACCAAGCTTTAAATTACTTTGTAAATAGCTGTCATAGCTAAAATCCTCAATGAACCTTTTATAAACATATGAACTGTATTCTTTTATATATGTGTTTTCACAAAGTAATATCTTTTGTTGTTGCTTGATGGGGGAGAAGGAGGTCCTTTGATTAAAGCCATTGGAAAGCTGTTTAAATTACACAAGTTTTGCAGTGAGTTAGTTTCAGCTAAGAGTTTAACTACACTAACACGTATGATCAAGGTGTGCAGAAGTATTATTTAAATTAAGAGTTAGCTTTCTAAGAGCTAGGAATATCAGTACAGTTATTAAACATGATAATTTGTCTTTTCTTCTTTAGCACAATTATTCCTTATGGCTGGACACAGTTTAAGTGAAACAGTTGAAGTCTCATTAAAATCATTAACATCATTTTTAACTTTTTGGAAAAATAACTATGTTATTCCACCAATTTTTGGCTAGTATTTGTAGGTTTTTTGAGATCTCAAATTTAAACTAAAATATGATATAGTAGGCTATTATTATTATTATTATTTTTATCATGAAAAAACTGTATTTAGATTTAGCCAGCTGGACTCAGTTTAGATGATCCCAATTTTGTTGGCAACATCCAAAGCATCATAGTCAGGGGCCAGCCGAACGTATGCCTTCTTCTCTCCATCAGGCCTGATTAAGGTGTTGACCTTGGCTACATCAATGTCATAGAGCTTCTTCACAGCCTGTTTGATCTGGTG